CCACTATACGCAGCCAATTACTAGTTATTTAAACCAATTAGTGTACACTAGTGGTTTAAATTTAGGTTTAAAGTGAGGTTTACAGTTTCCTCACAGTAGTGGAGGATACTCTACCCTATCATACTGTGAGCTCCTTACCTCTTTGCTTTACCACTAGAGCCTCCTGCTTGATAGAGATTTGTTAGTTGAACTTTGAGTTCACCAACATACTATGCTTGAACCCTTGACCTCATGATCTGCCTGCCTCAGCTTCCCAAAGTAATGGGATTACAGGTGTGAGCCAGCGTGCCTGGCCCAGTCTTCTTTATCAACTGGAATTTCCCAACTCTAAAAAGCCTTTCCATACTCTTTTTCTACTGCTGCATTCATTCCCCTTTGACTAGTTCAGTCCTAATTATTTTTCAAATATCAGCAAAACTTTACTCTTTAGGAAACTATCTGCCAAACCAGGTTGTGACATCAAGTTTTATACATTCAAAGACACATTTCTTTTCTTTATCCCTACTATATATTTTCATTTTCTAAATTAGTTACTAGTTTTGCTTTGTTTTGTTTGGAGATGGAGTTTTGCTCATGTTGCCCAGGCTGGAGTGCAATGGTGCAATCTCAGCTCACCACAACCTCCACCAGCTGGGTTCAAGTAATTGTCCTGCCTCAGTTTCCCAAGTAGCTGGGATTATAGGCATGTGCCACCATGCCAGGCTAATTTTGTATTTTAATAGAGACAGGGTTTCTCCATGTTGGTCAGGCTGGTCTCAAACTCCCAACTTCAGGTGATCCACCCGTCTCAGCCTCCCAGAGTGCTGGGATTACAGGCGTGAGCCACTGTACCCAGACAATTATTAGTTATTTAAGCCAATTAATGTACACTAGTCATTTAAATTTAGGTTTAAAGTATCCTCACACTAGCAGAGAATACTCTACCCTATTATACTATGTGCTTCTTACCTCTTTGCTTCACCACTAGAGCCTCCTGCTTGATAGAGATTTGTTAAATTAATTAAACTTTGAGTTCACCAACATACTATGCTCCTCTCCTGGTGCATAGAGTTTATCCAGTCAGTTATATCTGAAAAATAATAAAATAGCAGGGGATGGTGGGGGGGTGGGGTGCATGTCGAAGAAACTGTAAAGATTATGTAATTCATCCAAATGAAGAAATAATACTAAAGAGAAAGTTGTCAAAAGCCATGCAATGAATATGTAAAACTAAAACAAAAAATCAGGTTCTTGATTTCTCAGTATTTGGATGTTACAGAAACAAAATCATTTTTCTTCCATTTTCTTATCACCATTCTCTAGATTGACTTCCTTCCTCCATTTTATAATCTAATGTGTATATAAAACTATATCCTTATCTTGTCAAGTAAAATATTATTGTTATTAAAGTTAGCATTTAGGATATATTTTCCCAAGCAATGGGAATTAGAAAACTTATGTTTTTACATCAAACCTTATTCATAGGCTATTTTAACTCTGCCTTTTGAAACTGTTGAACATTTTGGCCCTGTGGTTTAAACCCAAAGATGATTTTTAGCTCATATTCATTAATACAAAATCACTAATCATAATTATGCCAATATTAATAATGTTCATCAGGAAAAAAATTTACCAAAGCAAACTCTGTTAAGCTAGTTTAAATTCTTGATCAATTTTTTAAACAGTATACTTAAGTAATTTTCAATTTTTAAAAGAACATTTCTTGAAATTATTACCTTTGAGATCAGTTCTTCTCCATATACAAGAAATATGTGATTCATCATAAATTTTCTTTATCAAATTTCACTGGTGATAGTTGCGGTCCTAGTAATTTTTTTGTCCAGTGTTTTTCTCAAATTCAATTTTTCTGTGTCACATTTTCCAGCTCTAAATTTTTTTTTCGATATTTAGTCCACAGAAAATGTTAACATCTGTATAGTTCTAGGTAACTTGTTATTATTTTTTATAAAATGTAATTTTCTCAGGTCCATTTTTGGAGTTTTAAAGAATTACAATGTTTTTAGGGTTTTGATGTTTTAGTTTCATTTTTGCTGTCTGCCATTTTATCTATTATGAAGTTTATTTTCTGGTAATCATTTCTACCAATTAAATGCAGTTTCAATTGGATAAAAGTCTGTGGTTTTTTTCCCCTTAAGTACTGAGAAAATGTTTAGCAATTTCCTTTGATATTCCAGGAGTGTTGGTCTTCTCGTTAGAAAAAAAGAGGTGGCTAAAGGCAATCTTCTGCTTAGATTAGATTGTAAATCTCATAAAATTTTAGATTTGGGGGTAGACAGTTTAACTCTGATGCTTATTCCTCATTTAAGAATTGGGGGAATCCAGAACCACAGATTTTTATCTGACTTGCCTAAGTATAAAGGACTAGATTTCAGCTCTCTTGACATCTAGGACACTTTGAGGGAAAAGTATTAGGAAACTGTGATCTGGACTTGAGTATCCTTTCTGGAGAGGAGAAGTTGGCTTTTTGTTACTAAGACAGTGCATCTGAGATTTTTTTTTTTTGACAAGTTTACCCCCTACCTGTTCTAGTTGGGAAAAGAGCCGTTGAGCTGAGCTTTATGGTGATTCAAAACGCTTTAGATAGATCCTGTCACACACTTTATAATTTCCTGATTGATTGTGTGGAATTAAGTTATTGGGCAGAGAACCAGCTAATGGAAACACATTGATGAAATCATTTTTGAGAGACATTAAATGGAACTTAAAATAAAGCTGAAACAGCTTTATGGATTTTTCATTCAAACTGTTTATGAACATTTATTGCCAGTAAATTATATTGTGTCAAAAGAGGGAATCAGTAGGTATGGTTTTAATAGAAACCTTTTTGAAATAATAAAATCGAGGATAATTTATTAGCTGAGAAAATGGAGAGAGGATGGGATGGGGGAATTCATCCTGAAGGATGATCGTCTGCTCTGGAGCTTCTGGGAATGTGAAAAATTGTGTGAAAATGAGAAACCTGATAGCACTTGGAAAGAAATGGCCTTTTTGAAGAGTATTAATATCTCATCTCATTATAGATGTGAATTGTTTTGAGAAGAAAGGTGATTGAGGATTTAGCAAGCATTACCTGATGGTATAAACACTGATATTTACTCATATCTCATAAAAAGATGAGCATGTAAAGGAGTAACAATCTACTGAGGGGGAGGTAGTTTAGAATAGTGATCAAAGGTTTGAGAATGGAAGGATTCGAGTTCAAATCCCAACACTCCCATCCCTCACTCAGTTATCCCTCCCAATTCCACTTAGCTGTGTGACCATAGGAACATTTCCTGACTTCCCAGAGCCTCAAAGATACTAACAGTCTCCACTTCATAGGGTTATTCTGGAGATCAAATGAAAACTGGAATATCCAGTACAGTTTCTAGTTTATAGTAAATGCTATAAAAATGTTACTTTTAAGTCATAGAAGATCTGGATAAGAAGAAAGATAAATAGGAATCATAAACACTTTATAATATTACTACCGATTGCTTTGTAGTGCCAGAAATCACATTCAGTCTTCCAAGATCCCTAGGAGATGAGGGTACTATCAACACCCTCTCTTTTGAGAGAGGGAAACTGAATATCACAGAGGTTGAACTTCATGCCCAAGGTCACTCAGCTGATGAGTGGCTTTGAAATCTTCCCCTTGGAAGTCTTACCAATTAGTCTTAATCTCCAGTATGTGGAACATATGGACCCCCCATTGGCCAAAGCCCAGCAAAAACATAAAGAGTTTTTGGTTGGATGGTGTTAGCTGAGGGAGCGTGAGCATCTTGTTCTTTACTTCCTTCCTACATCCAAAGGCTGTCAATCATTTGCCACCTCTATCTGTCAGAGCCTATCCCTCTAGATTTTGCTGGGTTGTCATTCAGTGGGCACCAGCTTAGCCTGCCATTGAGAAAGCAGTAATTTAGTACTCCCATAGAATCATCTGTACCAGTTGGAAATTAGGTCAGTAGAAGCCTTTGGAACCTAAAGTCAGTCAGGCTATATACCGCATAGGACCTTGTCCCTGACCGCACTGTGCTTAAGATCTAGTTGACAGAACACCACAACATTCAAAAGCATGTTCTTTGTCAAATGTAATGGAGCATTTCTAGATATTATAACAATGTAAGAGGATTCTAGAAATTCAGATGTGAAAGAAAGATATTCTCCCCTACTTATAGCATCAAAGTACACCAAATGTATAAAAAGAAACACCTTTACTTCAAAGCAAAGGATACTGCCTCAGCTAACTTTAATTGAAAAACTAATATCCAGTGCAATTGTCTGTGATAAACTGAGGCTTAAATGATTTGAAAACACTTTGGGAGCAGACAAATCAGATAATCGCTATCTTTATGGCTGCAAAGGTTCAGCTGGAGTTGACAAGTTGTAAAGATAAAAGCTTATAGCACAGTCAAGAGCTAAATGTCTAGATTGGGTTTGAGATCAATGTTAATACTCAAAGTGGAAAAACTCTGAACTTCAAATGATCTCTCATAGTGTTCTGTTTTGCTTAACTTTTCAAGATGATAATGTAGAACTTTATTCACTGAAAAACTTTTGCTTGTCATTAGGCAAATACTTCACTGTTCTACCATCTAACCCACTGGGTAGATGTCATATGTGTTAGGTGATTTGTGTCATGCATTGCAATAAGAAAGCTTTGGTTGCTGTTTTTCAAAACATTTCCAGTTGGGTGACTATTAATAGTTTCTGAGAGACAAGAGTCAGATCTTACCATTTCTAGGCATCTTTTCCTTTCTGAAACCAAGATGGAATTTGCCTCATTGCCTCACTCTGATCTCAGCAAGAATGCTTTTAAAAGAAGTTCCTTGTTTTTCCAAAGGCTATTTGCATGAGCGATTCAATGCTTTCCTATCATAGAGCCCTAAAGCCAGTGGGAAAATATGTGGATATTGGGTTGTGTTATGGATGTGCTGCATTTAGCTTCGGTCAGTGTGCTGATTATGCCTCCAGGTGACTCCAGTATCTCCAATCTGTTTGCTTTTCTCTTTTGTTTACAGGAGCAGAGGGCACAGTGTTCCCTAAATCTATAGAAACACCTAATGTCAGGGCAGACCCCTTCAAGGAACTAAGGTAAACTTCTGACTTTGGTTTGCATTGATTAATGGCTATTGCCTTTCTCTGTGCAACTGGCCAGTGATTCACTCTGAATAAATAATAAGTGTCACAATGTGAATACATAAATTGAAAGAGGTTGGAGAGAACCAGAAGATAAGCTACAACCAAAAGAAATTATTTTCTGAGAACTTAAAATTCAGGATCTGGGTGGGGTAAGAGGTTGCCCACTTTGTAAAATTTAGATTCATTCATTTAGAGTGTGGGGTTTCTGCTGTATTTTGTGGTCCCAAAAACCTATTCAGTTAGGGAACTCGTTGATAATTGGTGCTGATCAGTCCAAAGAAAAATGATATCTAAAAGAAGCTGAAATCTAAATACAATGCAGATGGCTTACTATGTAAGAAGCTCTCGTTACGTGGAATGGTATGGTACTAGAAAGACCCCCTTCTGCAGATGTTCCTGGTGCTGATGTTAATCTACAGATACTTATAAATGTGCTGCCTTAGCAGAGGATGACTCTGAGATGCTGTGCACTCATCACCAACAACTAAGGAAAACACAAAAGAACAGATAGTTGGATGAACAGAGAGAGAGAGCCTGAAAATCATTCCAGTCACCAAACAACCATCCCCCAGGCCCCCCTTCCAAAATTTATTTAAAATGGTATGTCGAAACAAATGTAACTATTCTTTCTATTGCTTCAGTTATTCATTGTAACTGTGAGGAATTCATTGAATACTGGCTTTTTTCATTTCTGGTAGTCCTTTTACCTAAAAGTAATCATAAATCACCAAATGACCATATGTGGCACTGAATCACTATTTCATAATAGACATCAACCATAGGCACATGTACTTGCATTGCACGAATTATACCAACTCTTTCATAATGCACCCTGAAGATCTATGCTTTGCTTAAAAAGCAAGAGCCATGTTGGAGCTTGTGTTTCTCTTAAGAGAAGCACATTCTCAGTAAGTGGAAAATATATCACCTCATTATAAAACCCATAGTATTTTTTGCAAAGCCTGTAAGTCTGGGTGACTTTAAGGAAATAAATTGGGCCAAAGGAAAAGGATAATTGGTGGAGAATGAGAATCTTTTCATAACAAAATTCCACATAGAGTGGGCTGTATTTTTAAGATTACACATCACACCAGAAGGTTTTACTTTTTACTAGCATAACTGCTTTCAGCAGAGCTTCCACATACCTGAACTTACCTGAGTCTATGTCAGCTACTTCCTATGTTTCATATAAGGTACTGAAGCTAGAATCTTTTAAGAAAAGGCATCTGAGAAAACCTACTTTTTAGGACTGTATGAGAAAGAGCTATTCCCTGCGAGTGCAATGAACCCTCATGTCTGTGATGGAAGAGGTCTTCGGAGACAAGCTAATGAGTGGCCTGGTTCCCTTTCTTTTCAGTCTTTGGTAGAAGCAGGTTTCTGACAGATAGATTAGCCCCAAGAAAAAGTGCTGTCTAAAAGAAGCAGAACTATAAATACAATACAGATATTTTTTGGAACAAAGCTTTTCATTACATGGAAGATTTGGGAAATAGAAGAGGAAAGGAGTTAGGCTGACTTGGCTTTAAGCGGTAAAGCAAATCTTCCGTAGTTAAAAACAACCCCAGCTCAAACCTATGAAATAAAAAGACAACTCTTCCAAGCATTAGCCCACTCTAGAGACGCATAGCCTGAAGAACATGGAGCAGAGTATTTAAACATGTCACGCTAGAGACGTAAGTAGTGTTTGTTACAAAACCTATGAACAACCCTGAAACTTGCCTTAAAAAACATAAATCTCCACAATTTACAGGTAAATTTTCTAAGTCCAGTGCCACAAAATAAATAAAGATTTCTTGTAGTTGGTTTATTTCCATGCTTCTTCTAAAGTTACAGGCATGTCCCATAAAGGCTGGAAAGCATGAAAATTTGTTTTAATAATTTCAACTTTCATTTTAGATTCAGGTATACATGCGCAGGTTTGTTATGTTGTATTGGACCGAGCATAGAAAGTCAACACCAAGACAAAAGTATGCCATATTGGGTTTATTGCTGGCGACCACGGAGGACTCACGTCTCTCCAACCCGTGGCCCCGTAAAAGAGGGTGACAAGAGCTTTTATATGCGTAAAAATCACCTTGGGGGTGAGGGGAGAGGATGGGGTGAGGGGCTTCAGACATTCCGAGGGCCAGTGGATTCAAATCACCTTCTGGGCGGAGATGAGGGTGAGGGGGTTCTGGACATTTCGAGGGCCAGGGGACTATTTGACATTCTGATTGTCATTTAAGGGATTCGCAGATGCTAAGATTAGCATTCATTTGCACATCGTCTGGGTAGGTGTGGGATCCATAGATTTTTGTTTACTTGGCACCAGGATGGAATTATCTGGGGGTTCTTACTCTGGTAAACAAAGGCCAGCAATTCTGGAAGTTACAGATAAGAGAAGGTATGCCGCTTTACCTCACTTTGCATCCTGCAAATAATCTAGCAGTTTCCAGAAGCCAAGGTTAGCAGTCATTGTGAGGAGAATGGAAACAGTTTTGTCAGTTTATAAGATGGCATTGTACAGGTTCTAACTCTAGGCCAGCTATATCACAGTTACATGAGTATATTGGATGATGCTGAGGTCTGGTGTGCAAATGATCCCGTCACCCAGGTAGTAAGAGTCATACCCAATAGGTAGCTTTTCAGCCCTTTGCCTCTTTCTTATGGCTGTATAGTGTTCTATGGTGTATATGTACCACATTTTCTTTATCCAATTCATCACCGATGGATACCTAGGTTGATTTTCTATCTTTACCATTGTATATTGCAATGAATATACGAGTGCCTATGTACTTTTGATAGAATAGTTTATTTCCCTTTGGGTATATACCCAGTAATGGGATTGCTGGGTCAATTGGCAATTGTGTTGTCAGTTCTTTGAGAAATCTCCAAACAATGGATGAACTAATTTACATTGCCACGGACAACTCTAAGTGTTCCTTTCCTCCACTGTCTCACCAGCATCTGTTGTGTTTGACCTTTTAATAATAGTCATGCTGACTAATGTGAGATAGTATCTCATTGTGGTTTTGATTTGCTGCATGCAGCATTTTTCAGGTTCGTTAGCTACCTGTATGCCTTCTTTTGAGAAGTATCCTTTTATTTCTTTCACCCACTTTTTAATGGGGTTATTTTTTGCTTGTTGAATTAAGTTCCTTATAAATATTATATCCTTGTCAGATATTAGACCTTTGTTGGGTGCATAGTTTGGTAATATTTTCTTCCATTTTATAATTGTCTGTTTATACTGTTGATAGTTTCTTTTGCTGTGCAGAACCTCTTTAGTTTAATGAGATTCCACTTGTCAATTTCTGGTTTTGATGTAATTGCTTTTGAGGACTTAGTCATAAACTCTTTCCCAAGGCGTATGTCCAGAATAGTATTTCTGAGGTTTTCATCTAGAATTCTTATAGTTTGAGGTCTTCTATTTAAATCTTTAATCCATCTTTAGTTAATTCTTAAATACGGTGAAAGGTAGGAGTCCAGTTTCATTCTTCTGCATGTGGTTAGCCAGCTTTCCCAGCAGCGTTTATTGAACAGGGAGTCCTTTCCACATTGCTTATCTTTGTTGACTTTGTCAAAGATTAAATAGCTATAAGTATGAGACTATTTCTGGTTTCTCCATTCAGTTCCATTGGTCTACATTTCTATTTCTGTATGAATATCATGCTGTTTTGTTACTGCAGCCTTAAAGTACACTTTGAGCTGAGTAATATGATGCCTCTGGCTTTGTTCTTTTTGCTTAGGATTGCTTTGGGCTCTTTGGGTCCATATGAATTTTAGGATTTTTTTCTAATTCTGTGAAAAGTGACATTGGTAGTTCAATAGAATAATGTTGAATCTTTAGATGACAATGGGCAGTAAGACCATTTGAACAATATTGATTCTTTCATCTATTAATTCCTTGAGCACAGAATGCTTTTACATTTGTTTTGTCAACTGTGATTTTTTTCAGCAGTGTTTTATAGTTCTTGTAGAGATCTCTTTCCTCCTTGGTTAGACGTATTCCTAGTTATTTTTTGTGTGGCTCTTGTAAATGAGATTGCTTTCTTGGTTTGGCTCTCAGTGTGAATATTATCGATGTATAGAAATGCTACTGATTTTGTACAACGATTTTACTTATTTTTATTGAAGTTATTTTAGTCCTAGGTGCCTTTTGGCAGAGTCTTTAGGGTTTTCTAGCTATAGAATCATATTGTTGGACTGGGTAAGGTGGCTCACACCTGCAATACCAATGTTTTGGGAGACCAAGGCTAGAGGATCGCTTGAGCCCAGGAGTCTGAGATGAGCCTGGACAACATATGAAACCCTGTCTCTACAAAAAAAAAAAAAAAATTAATAGCCAGATATGGTAGTGATGCATATCTATAGTCCCAGCTGCTTGGGAAGCTGAGGCATGAGGATGGCTTCAGCCCAGGTATTTGAGGTTACAGGGAACTATGATAGCACCACTGCACTCCAGCCTAGTGGCAGAGCAGGACCTTATCTTTCTCTCTCATACACACACATATGAACAAATAATCATACTGTTAACTAAGAGAGATAATTTGACTTCTTTTTTAAATTTTTTTCTCTTTCTTGATTGCTCTGGCAGAGACTTCAGTACTGTGTTGAATAGAAGTTATAAAAGTGGGCATCCTTGCCTCATTCCTGTTCTTAAGGGGAATGCTTCCAGCTTTTTGCCCATTTGGCATGATGCTGGCTGTGTGTTTGTCATAGATGGCTCTTATTTATTTGAGGTATGTTCCTCTGATGCCTAGTTGCTGGGTTTTTTTTTTGTTTTTTGTGTTTTGTTTTTGAGAGTTTTTCTCATACAGGGATGTTGGATTTTATTGAATGCTCTTTCTGTGTCTCTTGAGATGATCTTATGGTTTTTGCTTTTAATTCAATTTATATGATGAATCACATTTTTTGATTTGCATATGTTGAACCATCCTTGAATCCCAGGAATAAAGGCTGTTTAATCATGG